TATGTGCGCCCCACCATGAACCTGAGAGTCTGGATGTGGCTGTTTCCTTCCCGCAGACAATGAACCAGATCCAGGAAACGATCCGGGAGTCTGTCCGCGTCCTGGACACCCATTGGTTCACGGAACTAATGCCGACGGTCCCACAGGTTTCTGGGGCTTTTGGCAGCTTCATTATGCTGCCAAGGTGGGCATTGCAGGGTGACAAAAAGGCGGTGGTCTTGGATGCGTCGGGCGTTGATAAGGGAACTTTCGTCTTTTATATCAGCGCCCCCATCACCCGCTTCGCAGTGTTGCAGCAGCTTGCCCTGGACGCCGCGATGGAGATAGATGTCTTTGTTGGCGGGTCGTTTGCCCCCCTCCAAGAAGATGAAGGGCAGAACCCCTCCAATGGATGCCTCGTCAAGGTGTTACGGAGAGGGGAGGTCGTTGACTGGCAGGGCAGGCTCGAAGACCGATTGCAGGACCCGGCCTTATGGAACCCGGAAGTTGAGCATCCGGCGCATGTGGGTAGCAGATTCATCGAGTTTCAAACCGTCGAGGAGACGCACCTGCACTCACTCCAAAGACAATGGGAGGAAGGGCCGAAGAATGTCGCTGTGCGGACATTTGGCCTCGACCCGGACAGTGTGTGGCTGAGATCGCCCCGGGATCGGCCCAAGCGTCTTTACAAGACGGGACACCGAGTGTACTCCCTCGTGGCCGTACTTAATGAAAGCTGCCACCACCAAGCCACAACTTCCGTTGTCTTCTTTGACTTGCGGCCAATTGGACAATGGGTACAGTGGTTGGCGGTTGAGGGTGAGCGGGTCCACCCTGGAGAATACCTGGAGGGGCTTCAGTTGCCTGTCTATGAGGGCTTCACCCTGGTGGTGTATGGTGGCCAAAGCCAAGGCGAGCAAGGCTACCTCACGATTCAGGACGGAGAAGTGCTTGAGGTGCACCTCCAGCCTGAGATGGAGTTGGCGGCCAACAGCCCGGCCTACAGCGTGGTGAGACCACCTACGCCACGACAGAGTGGGCCCCCTCAAGATGGCGACGTGGAGACGTGGGCCACGGGTCAAAGAACTGTGAGGGAGCAGATGG